GATAACCCTCTCCCAACAGCTGCGTCACTCAACTCAGCCTGGCAGATGGCTTCTTGTCCTTGTTCCCATTCACGCTATGACCCTGAGGTATCCAACCCCACTGCTGTTGAGGAGAAGACCCTGGCACAAATAGATTTGAATCCACACCTTGCTCTACTGATGCAGGAAAGGTCTGTAGCAACTGAGAACTGTGTCTGTACCTTTTTGAGGGGAAAGCCGAGCAACGTCGTGTTCCTCACACACACTCTGGGCACGCCAACTGAGATAATGTTGCTGAAGCGCTGAACCTCGTGAACAACAGCATTTGTGTAGGGCAGTTCTCTCCGATCCTCATAGCAAATTAACTGTGAAGGACCCAAAACAGCATCCAGCTCCTTCTGCACTTTCTCTGTGGAGAAATATTTATCATTGCAGGTGGAAAAATATATCAAGTATTCTCACCAATTCCATTTTCAAAGACATTTCCCATTTAGAACTATGAGAACAGCAATAAAATTAATGTAAAAATGTAAGTAACTTTTATAAAGAAAAAAAGTAGCAGGGTGTTCCAACAGCTTAAACATATGGGAGCTCTACTTCTGGGTCTGAAGTTATTTGCTTGTGGATTAAGAAAAGACATTTATTGCTCAAAAATTTAAAACTCTAAGAGTTGTCTTACTAACACTTAAATGCAAGAGATAACTGATTTATCTTTGTGTTTTCTTTTGCCTCGGGCACCTACAGGCAGTTAGAACCACTAAGCTCAGAGCTCTCTGGGATTTAAGACAGGTGAATCTGGGCCTTAAAAGCCTAATTCCTCTTAAAAGGAAATGGCTTTTATATAGTGTGTTTGTTAAGTGAAGCAATACCAAATAGAACAATGTCCAAATACCTTTAAAAAAAGCCCTGGATCTGCTTCTTGGTGCTTGCCTTTTGATCAAGAATATCATGATTTAAATTACTTATTGCACAGGAGTGCTGGGAGCATTAACAGAAGTACAAAATTTGTTTTGTAAACTTCAAGAGAGGCAGTACGCACGTAATAAAAATGCCTTCAATTTTTAACAAATGATCCTGTCTTTTTCTAGGCCCTTTGAAGCAACACCAAGATACAGGGAAGCCCATTCTGCATTGATCAGTTTGTGCTCATTCACATCAAGCCTGCTCAGTGACTGCCAGCAGTCCTTCACGAAACTGTGTTAGGTACACCCTGACAACAGAGATTTTAGCACCTTACAGAATGTAAAATGTATATCCCGAAAAAATTTTAAGTAAAGTAAATTTCCTTCTATGAAGAACTAGCTTGCAAAATCAAGCACGGCTACTTCATTACAGTTTGAAGTGATCAGTCACTGCATGAGTATAAACATGCATCTCTGTTCTGGCAGTTCAGGGAACAAGGAGAGCCTGATTCAGTGATTAGGCAAAAGGCCAAACTGTTCCATATGGTACACAATGGAACTGCGTAACGTTGTCATGGGTTGTCAACACAGGCAAAAGTATGAACGGGTTCAAAAAGAAGCCACCAACTAAATGAGGACAGATATATTGGTGTCAGTTCATTATGGGAGTCTGGATGCAACGTATGACTCAAGAAGCCCATGAAGGATCATTCTGCACACGCCCTGCTTTCCCAAGTATGTGCAAGGTATTATATTTAGACAAATAAAATTATTTAGGTGAATCAGCGCTTTCATAACCTAATAATTACATTAGGTGATAATAAAATGCAATAACATGAGATTAAGTAGACCTTCTTGTCTGACAGCTCCAAATTGAGCAATTTTTTCTTATCTTCATCTCTTTCCTTCATCTAAAATCCTCTTCTCCTCTGGGTATTTGCACATATTCTGCTATCTAACAATGAGATTTCTGTTATGCAGCACAAGAGATCATTCTTTCTTTGGTTTCCATTTAGTGCTCTTTGAAAGTGATGGATGGTTATATAAAAGCCAGACTTGAAAATAAACTTCTTAAACATACATAGATGTAACAGATGTGCCATCAAATTCCCCTCCCGACTGGAATAATTTCTCTTGCAAGAAACTCAAATACATCACATAGTTAATTTAATTACAGATTAGACACCCTGATACCTTGGGATTGTAAATGGATTGATGGACAAAAATAAAGTCAAAGTTGCCAATTGACCATTAGGTGATTATCTTTACTACCATGCTGACCTACAGAGCACAAAGAAGGGCAGGACTCCCCGTAGCCCCATCTCTGATACTCGGCCAATATAAAGCAGAACTGGTTACCAAAGAGTAACATCCTTGCTATCACACATCAGTTTCTGGTTAATTATTTTCAACCATCAACTATGTTTACAACTATGACAGAACCCAACTCAGTTTCTTGAAGTACCGTCAGCACCTCACTGAAGTACCGTCGGGTGGCCAGTGTTCCTTCAAGGATGATGCATGCAAATCCTCTGGCTTCCCAAACAGCAACTCCAGTCCTCTTACTCCGTCTGTTACCCTACCACAATCTTCATTTCCCCAAAGACCTCAACTCCTCCATCTCAATCATCCACAACCTCCTACACATAAGCACCATAAGCACACTTCCCAAACTGTTAACTCTTTCTGGAAACTGCCTTATGCCTGTGGCTGCTCTCAGAGCTTGTCTGCAGATACTCTGGATCTACCAACGCTGGCCAGCACAGATCTACCAGTACAAAAGTGTCCATGTGCCACTAGCCATATACCAGTATCTAGGAACAATCTCTGACCCACGAAATTGTTATGACTTGGCTGTGCTATTGCATCAGAGATATTTGCGACGTGCTTATCCACTCACCTTGGATGTCTGGATTTGCCACCATGTAGAGCAGGCCCCAGTTCAAAGTAGTGCTTGTTGTCTCTGATCCACCCAAGAAAAGGTCATTTATAGAATAAACCATGTTGTCTTCATTGTATGTAGACCTGGGTACATCTTTGGACTGCAAATGATAAGAAAAAGTAGAGGTTTATCATGAAAGGTAGAAAAAAACAGAATAGGTTTAAATGTGATTTTATCACTGGTTCCAAGCTGCAGAGTGTTCTGCCAATAATACAACACAGAGAGATTGATAAAGAACTAGACACCAGAGATGATTATCAATATGAAAAGCTAACGTTTCATAAATGGACAAGGCACTTTTACTCTACTCTTAATCATGAAGCTATATCACATGTTCTCCACAAAAAAGGATTGTTGGCTTAATTGTGCAAATAGTGGTACATTTAGAATGTTTCAGAAGTAAATGTTCCCTGCAGCTGTGTAGCAGCATGTCACTCCTCATGCCCCAAGTCATATTCCATCTACCAAGCAATACAGTGACCAGGAAATGAACACCGGGCTGTCAAAAGTTCTTAACCTGTGGTATTCGGGCTTCTTCACTACAAGGCCATAATGACTCACGTACAGCTGCTCTGGGGTTTTACAGTTTTCAGTTAGAAGTGTGAGGACAGGTACGTATATGCTGAAACTGTGAAAGAAAATTGTTATGGTTTGGAGCAATTCCTTGACTAAATTTAGGGAGGTTATACTCAGGGGTCTTGAACCTTTCTTTTACCAGTGGAGCAATTGGAAAGTGGGAAGGATGTTTTTCCCTGTTGCAATATCATCTAATCTTTTTATATTGCCCCTGCATATTTATTACAGACTGTTCAATTTTTCAATAAACAAAGTTGGATGATTTCCACCCAGCAGAGCTCACTGAAACAATTTCTGATCCACTGATGTTCAAGTCTCATAAATCCCAGGACAGTAGTGAAGGACTTTAGGAGCAGTTAAATGCTTTGGAAGACCAGATGTGTTAATTTTGTGCCAGTATCAAAAAATTTAAAACAAGAGGATCCAAGGAACTAGAAGCCAGTTAGGCTGACATCCACCCTGGACATAAAAATACAGCAGCCGATATGGGAATAAATTAATAAAGAATTACCATCTAGAAATAAAAATTAATAGCATTTATTATGATAAAGAAAACTGAACTTAGCAAGGAGATCTGATTTTATTTTTTGACAAAATTACCAGCTTGGATGATAATGACAGTTTCACAGTTGCAATATACTTGGAGTTCCACAAGACAGTTGTTTTTGTTGCCCACAAAAATAAAAAGTTAAGCACTACAAGGTATTCATAAGACACATTGTAAAAGACTAAGGAGCTGGCTGACGTTAACAGCTAACAGACATTCTTCCCTGCACATCTCTGCAGTGTGATCGAGCACAGTCAACTCAGAGAGTACACAAGGCAGGCAGCAGTCCAGGATGGCAGACCAGTTTCGGCTGTGCCAGGAGATGCAGGATGGGTGCCTACAGCCTGACAAGGTGGCAGTCCCTCTGTTGCTGTGACCAGCACATGACCACAGTGGATGGGGCACCGACTGCCCCTGCAGGGGGAAGCACTGCCACCCAGGAGCAGCAGTCATTACCCACTTCTCCAGCAGCTGCAAGAATAGATACCCCGGGGCCTGGGTATCTCATTTGGTTCTCTGAGCCACTCTTGCCTTATCACCCCCCAGTAACACCAGTCTCATCTTGTCACTTCCTCCTCTTTCTCCTTTTTCTTCCTATCACCAAGCGGAACAGGAGGAGGAACATGGTCTGCTGCAGTGCAGAAGAGGAGAAAGAGTGATTAAGTGGAGGTAGAAGGAGTCACAGAGGGGAAGAGCAGCTGCTAGTCCAGGCATTAGGGAGGGGATCGAGTTCCCAAGAGATTCAGACAACGAAAAATGCATCCTGGTAAGGTCTAGAAAATGGAGATATGTGTCCCCACTCACAGCTATGCAAGCCTCTTACAACCTTTCAAAACCCCATGGATTCCCACCTGTCTCTACTATGCTTACCTGCCCAAAATGCCCTTATTTGCCCCAGTTCCCTTTATCTGCTTGAAACTTCACTGACCATGGCACTCTCTTCTCCCACCTTGTCTGAAACTCTGCTGACTTCTAGATTATTTCCCCACAAAATGCTTTCAAAATCCAACCATCCTCTTGCAGCACCCTCTCTTGACAAACCCTTACCAGCCAAATATCCTATCCAGAACATCCCACTGTCTCCCCAAGACCTTCCCAGTCTTCTCACGGTCCACTTAGAAACTTAGTGTTCTTCCCCGGAGCCCTAAAAACATTTTGTAACTTGTGCCAATGCGAATAAATGCAGTGTATTAACATGCCCTTTAATAAAAGGATTGCAATGTGCTGTGGCATATCAATAGTTCGAAAGTATTTAGAAAGACCCCGGTAACTGGATTCACATTACGGTTTCTATGAAAGGTAAGAGATTGTGATAGAAGGGCTCAGACTGGATTATTTAGTGGTCCATTTCACCTCTTTCCGCATGAATGCATGAACAAATACTTACTTTTTCAATGTGAGCCAGGTAAAAGTCAATGAAATCCTGCAGTTCTTCTGGTATCCCACGCTCCACGTGCATTCTGATCTCTCTCCTTGTAAAAGAGCTCAGGGCATCATAGCAAGACAACGCCTTCTTATGAGGACCAGGGATACGGCGCATCAACCAGGGGAAGATTTCATACAGCTGCGGGAGTGACACACAAGAGGTACCACAAAGTCTCTATCACTAGAAAATATGCTTTAGGCCTACTAAAAAGAGGAGGTAATGTTCATGTTAGCATGTGGGTTTTGGCATCATGAGTAAAATATTCTGACAAAGGCTACGCTTATGTTTTCAAGTCATGAAACAGTACACTATATAATTTCTAGCTGTGTTGATGGTAAGATTCAGAGTTCAACAGGCTTTCAGCTCAACCGCAAGCCAAATTAGAATGATTATAATTTGAATGAACTGTATTAATTTATTCAATTCTTGTATTTAATTGCAATGAACTGCATTCAGACATTTACAAAGTGAGATCCTGCCCTCCAGTGGAGAATACCAGGAATGAAGAAACAAAACCGTTGGGATGTGTCCTCCCCAGGATGTACAAAAGCAGTTGGTAGAACCCTAAGCACGGCCCAGCTGCCAGCGGCTGGGATACGGCCTCAGTAATCCCCCAAAGCACTCTCTGCTAATCGAGCTCTCAAGGGTCCTCAATAAAACTTGAAACATTTGAAACCCAGAAAAGCTGAGAAACAGCTACCTGACATTTTTGAGTGCTCTCCTCAAGAAAAGAAGAAGGGGCAAGCTCAAACAACAAGATGAATTTATCCTCCTCTCTTACTGTTTGGGACAATCTGGCCTAAAAATAGCTGCTTTCTACCTATTCTGATAACTAGAAAGTTCATTCTGATTTTGAGCCTATGTTTATGCCTGAGTAACTTGTGTATGTTGTTCTTGTATCTGCAGCGTATTTTCTCTTACTAGTTCTTTTCCTGCTCAGAACATAATCCCACGATTTATTTATCAGCAGAAGTTCTATCCTTCCTCAGTCTTCATCTTGCTGAGCTCTTCTTGTACTCTCCTAATTATACCGCAGAAAGCAAGTTATTACGTGTTCACTGGAGTCTGGCTGAATTAGATAAAGTATACTTCTATCTTTTTGGAAAATCAATTCTTATTGACAGACATCCAATTATCAATTAGTCATTGCCTTATCACAGAAAGGTAGTAGTCCAGCCCTTGGTAAATTCTCATAGAACTTCATATCCTTTTTGTTTAGTTCCATCTCTGGTGGGTTTTTTTTTCCTTCAAAATCTGTTCAGGAGCATTACATACAACTGTGGTCTGACTAACCATATATGGTCGCCCAGATTACATGCGTTCCTACTCTCAAACGCATGCACTTTCCAGACACTATGGCACCTAACTGTATGTGGAATTTAGTTGTCAATGTTCCAGACATTAACTGAGCCCATCCACCTTCCTGGCTACCAGTCCTGCCAACACTCTTCCTCCGTTTCTGGAGAGACCTAATCCACAGCATTCTTCTCTTCAGTGCCTGACACGTGGAATCCAGTTAAGAAATGGGGATGTGGATGCAGGAATGTCCACTGTCTACATAATACTGAGTACCCTTTGCATCCAGGAAGCGGGAAGTTTGCAGCCCTCCCTCTGGAATGGTTTAACACCCGTTCTTATTTCCCAGAAAAGCATCTTATTCATTGGACTAAAGCACAGCTGGGATAGGTAGGAGAGAAGAAAAGGAGGTATATTCTCTATCCCAAAAGCAAGTCTCAGCTGGCACCACTAGACACGCCTTACAGGACCAAAGCTAGGCTAAGCAAAAGGGAACTGATCATAACTCAGTGAGAAATATGTTCCGTGGGATGTAGGGGTGAACCTCTATTTCAGGGATTGCTTATGTGTTTTACATTAAGAAGCTAACGCATGGCATCCCATGGTGTATGGGACAACTTTAGAAATGGAACCAGAACTCCCAGGCAACTTTGAACACACTTCTGTGCAAAGCAGGCCTCTTCTAGTGTCAGGTAAGTCCTTGACTCCCAGAAGAGCGCTGATTGTTTTGATTGCCAAGCTTACAGGTGCATTTGCTGGCTTAGCCTTTCCCATCTTCTGCTGCCTGCGTCTAGAGTTCACTCAGGGTGAAGGAGTGGAATTTCTCTGGGAAGTCTTCAAGTCTCCACTTCTTATAGAGGAAAGGGAGATAAGTAGCCACAGGCAAAACACTTGGGTATTTGAGTCATTTTTCTCTCTGTGGACTGTATATAAAACAGTGTCTAAACTCAGCATGTGAATCACACTTTTAGACCTGACATTTAGTATTTAACAATCGTGATGCCCAAGGCAGCAATCCGTTGTGTATGGGGGTTGAGAAACCAAGTAACAAACACGACCCAGGAGCAGTCCATCAGCTTGGGCCTTGCTGCAAAGATTTAGGAACAAACTACCTTACCACAGTACTCAAACACAGGACAATGAAGGAAGACTGGTATGTAGAGCCTTACCATCACACTTTGAGATAGCGCACTGCCCAGTAAAGCTTCATGGGACATCACCAACCCATTTGAAAACTTTTGCGTAACAGCTACCTCTTGAATCTGCATTACTCACTGTCTTATTCAGAAAAAGATAACAGATCGTTTACTTACATGATGAATAAAGCTGCCTGCAAATTTGAATAGATACTCTGTGGCTCTAATCAGTTCACGGAACGTTTCATCCTCTCTAGAGAAGCGATGTCCAAAAACAACAGCACAAATTACATTTGAGACGGAATGAACGAGAGGGAAAGAAGGATCCAGGGGTTTCCCTGCAACCATAATAAACGTCACTGTTAATGTCTCCTTTTCTGGTTTAGTGAAATGAGAGATTATTACAGGTTACCCAAAGTACTTTCAAGAGAGCATTGCATTTCACAGAGAAGCAGCAATCCTCTTACAAAATCATAGTATCAAATTGATTCTCCACAACTATGTTGCAATCCCATAATCCCAGGAACGTGTGGCACCCTAAAGAAATGACAGATGTGTGAAATATTTCGTAATATGATAGAGCGAATTTGCCGTCTGGCAAATTCAAAATAGGTCTCAAGCATGGGAATGACATTGTGGTCTAAAGGAATCTGAGAGGAGAACTGTAAGAAGAGAGGCAGCCTTACTCAGCAAGGACATAAATATGTGCAAGGCTACTCTATTTTGTCTGACTTTGCTAGAGATGTACAGCCTCCAGTAAGATAAAATATCATAAATTTCTTTCAACCCATTGTGTCAACAAAATTATACCTAAATTTAAAGCAATTACATGAAAAACTAATCTAAAAAAAACCCCTATTTTGCAACTGCCCAACACCCAATGGACAATTCTGATTAGCAACTTACTGTTCTGGGCTTTTCTTTCCTGCACACATTGTCACAACTCAATCTCTCTCCTAGTTCTTAAACCATGGGATTGGGCTAGATTTAATTACTTTTAATTGATACAATGCTAGCCACAGCATGTCTTGATTTACTGTGCCTTTGCATAATGATCAGGATTGGGAAATCCAACTCACATGCTCCTAACTGGGCTGATTAGCGTAAAATGTTGTAACGCAGACAAGAGCCTAGTCACTGCTTTACAGAGTGTATGCAAATGGCGTTACAAGCCTTAATTGATCAGCATTGATAATGCGTCCATATCTTTATGCACCAGCACCATATAAGAGCCAGCAACGTGCCCTTAAGACAAGAAGGCCAACATCATCCTGGGCTGCCTTAGGAAAGGCATTGCCAGCAGGTCAAAGGCAGTCATCCTTCCCCTCTGACCAGGAGTGGTGAGACCCACTGGGAGAGCTGGGTCCAGTTCCAGGCTCTCCAGTACAAGAGCGACATCAACATACCGGAACAAGTTCAGCAAAGGGCCACAAGGACAATTAAGGGATTGGAACATCAGAGGTAATAGAGGCAGAGAGAGATGGGACTATTTAGTCTGGAGAAGAGAAGGCTCAGGGAAATATCTCAAATACATATAAATACCTGATGGAGGGGAATAAAGAACACGGAGCTAGACTTTTCTCAGTGGTATCAAGCGAGGCAATGGGCAAAAGCTGAAATACATTACATTCTGTCTAAACATAAGAAACTTTTTTACTGTAGGGCTGATTGAACACTGGAACAGGTTATCCAGAGAGATGGTGAAGTCTTCATTCTTGCAGATGTTTAAAACCCAACTGGACTCAGCCCTAAGAAACCTCCTCTGATTGACCCCTTCTTTGGGAAGGGGTTAGACTAGACCCTCTTCACAGATCCCTTTCCACTTTAAGCATTCTATGATCTAAATAATAAATAAGCTCCAGTTTCACTTCCCAATTTTAGTAGTTTTGTAAATAACTTTGAACAAGAATAGCCTCCCTCTGGGTTTGAAAACACAGGACTGGGGTCTTGGCACTTTCAATCCATTCCAAACAGACATGTAAGACCCTACACACTCTCTTGTGGAACAAAAGCTGCCCTTAATTTCAGAGCAGGACAGAGAAATTCATACACTAGAGACACTAGATTAATGACAAAAAGGAGTAAGTATTTATTGCAGAGATACCTTTCATACTTGCAAAGAAGTCTACCAGGTAGTGGGCCTCTTCTTGAACTTGATGTTCCAGACCTCTTTTCCCCAGACCAAGGTTGCGCAGAGTCCTCAGCGCAAACCTTCTCTGCTGCTTCCAGGTGTGACCAGTTGCCAACATAATCCCTGCATCCATTCAAGGAAGAGCTCTTTATCATGCTAATATTTATTATAGACAAAGACTACATTAAAAGATTTACTAAACCACAGAATATAATGAAACTATTGCATTGCCTATGAATACAAAGACACAAAAGGATAGATGTGGCATGTAAGTATGTGGGCAGGGCTAAAATGGACAAACTCAACTCGTAATAAGGTGACTTGCAGGATTAAGCTTGATCCAAGACAGCCAGTTATCTCAAAGTTTGACAGCTGCTTCTCTAGATGCTCTCTGAAGTGCTTGCCTCCCGCTCTCCTCTATGCTTGGAGCTCACCTGACCAGAGTAATGATTCTTATGAAGGGAAAAGGGGAAAAAGTTCTGACTGCCCCCAGTCAGGGAGAAAAGTTTCTGTCCACAGGGCAGAAAAGTTCAGTACTTAGGCTTTGTGACAAATCTCTTCAGGAGAATTAAACATCGTATACTAACAGGATCTTTAACGTAGTATAAGAATCACCAATGATTGAAACAAATTCAAATTAGAAATATTTAAGGAATTTGATTTCCCTAAAAAAAAAAAAATAATCGAGGTCCCAAATAAACTAAAGGTTGTTTCAGAATGCATGTGTTCATGAAAATCAGGAGGTTGGGAATTTCCAGTGTGGTTGGGGAGTACGAAACCTATGGCAAGGTTGAAACAGACGTGCACTGAACCTCTAGATGCAACTGTGAGAGTAAGAAAATATTCACAGAAGGAAGGGAATGGGAAGAAGATCCCAACATCAAGCTCACTCTTCAATTGAAAATGTAATGGTGGGAGGCAGTAAGTCCGGTCCAAGGAATTGTGCGGTTTCCCGCTCTTCCTCCACTTTTCTGAAACACAACCTACCACTACATCATCTCACCACCTCTGAATTTGCTCCAGTGACTATTTCACACAAGGCATTATGAACATTTTTTCTTTTGCTGGTCTTTTCTTCCTACTACTATCCAAAAGCTATTTCACTCCTCCCTACTTTGCAGTTCACCTGGCAGTCATTCCTCATAGACAAACCCTGCTACTGTGGTACCTTTGGAAGTGGATACAAGCTACAAGAGAGCTGCAATTTGTCAAGACAATATTTCTGTGCAGTATTTATGACATGAAAAATCTCACCTTTTCCTTTGGCCATTGCTCTGAAGAAAGGGGACACCAGCCTCCCAGAAACATCTTCAGGGTGTGTGGTCATACCATCCTTAACGGCTTGAAATCCATTCAATATGATCACTGGGGCCCATCCAAACCATAAGGTGAATATGTTGCCATGAATTTTTGCCAGCTATAGATGGGAGAGAAGCCAGGAAAGCACAGGTGAAATCCCACATACTGCAAGCAAACAGAGGATGAACCTGTTTTTACACTGATTGCAGGATCAATCCTAAGGTGCAATGGTGTTCTCCATCTTTCCCACAAGACTAGAACTATCTGTGAGAAAGCATGAATGTCTTTTCCAGCATTCACTGTTGGAAGCAACCAAATACTCCAGCTTTTCAGAGCCACAGATCTATTCCAAGAAACATTTGGTAGCTCTTATTACTGTATATAAGCCAAGGCTCAGTTCGCAATGATTCATGTGACAAAGGGTATTTTCTATGCATGAATTTATTTCAGGAGGGTTTCTATCATTTGTACTGGTAAAGTGGTGCAAGGGGAACACAGGAATGTCAGAGGACTAACTAGCTTGTAGAGACTGGACCAGTTGCTTTCTTTCCCCCCCTGCCCATTTGCATAGTTAGGTACTGGAACTTGAGTAAGACCATTCTGTCTCACGGTGTCCTTACTTCCCGTCTGAACCTGCCATTTGGTCAGACTAAAATGGTGTGTCTCATCCAAATCACAGTGACAGAAGCCACTGGAGTTGTCTATTGATAATCCCGAAAGCACTGCAAGAACCAACAGAATGAAAAAGAGGTGGCTTTTGGCTCAGAGGTACTCCTCAAAAAACAACTAACAAAAGGTTCATGAGGGTTTTTAGATCCTGTCAATACAAACAGGCGTATACACGCATAGTGCATCTTCAGTATCTATCTACTGCGCAAGCTACAGACTGCCAGTGTTCAGAAAGCCAAAAATCCATGCTGTGAAAGTAGTTTTTTAAAAAGAATATTTATTTTCCCTAACTGCAAATCTGATCTATTATCCCTAAAGGTATTTAATCCTAAGTGATACAAATTTTCACAGGAATTTGTCAAATTTAGTGTTAAGGGATAGAAGGATATCAAGTTTCACATGAATTTGTCATATTCAGTATTAAAAGGTGATGGGTTTAAGCATCAGAAGGATTTTCACATATTCAGAACTTCCCATATCAGTTTTCTTAGCTTGGTAAACTACTTTATGTTGCAATAACTTTTTCTTATTTTGCCAACCAAACCAACCAGCAGTTCCAAACCAAACCGAGTATAATATCACAGTGGCTACTTAACAATTACAGTATGTTACCAATGTAGTTTCGGGAGAGGATGTCTTCACATAGCAAATAACATGAGAAATGGGAAATTACAAAGCCTTTTAAACAATTACGAGTATCTAAAAATAAATACCTTCATGAGGAGATCACGATTAAACTGAAAGTTCAGCTGTATCAATGTCCCAAAAATTGGGAGAGGGATTGGTCCAGGAGGAAGTTGTCTCCGTACTCGTTGCAACTTTAAAAACTGCATAATTAGAAGAAATACAGCCAAGGCTATAAGAAATTGACTTATTGTAAACATTTTTATGGCTGCTTTTACTAGCTTGTCTTTGTTGAAAATAGTCTATTGAAGCTATTAAGGCTGGTTGCTCAACCAGTTTTTTCATAAGAGAGTGAATTTCATATAATTACTATTCCCCACCCCTAACCCTCCCTCTTCGTTATCATCCACTCCGTTTCTGTCCCACTCATGACATTCTCACACTCAAGCATATTTAATAGACACACACCCCTCTCCCTCTTCTCATTCAGGCTGCATTTATCAAATATGGATCACAGGATCTGTAGGAATGGCATCTTAAAAGACTAGGGCCAAAATTTTCCAGGCAATGTAGACACACATATCCATACATAAATTCTCCGTCTAATGTTCTGAAACAATCGTGGATGGTATGTGCTCCTACAAATACTTCATGAATGCTTTTATAAAAGCAATAGCCATACATACAAATTAAGAATGCAAACGTAAGTGGATATTAAATCTCGGAGTTTTCTTAATGTTTTGTATATATTCCACATACACATATATCCAGTAATGGCAAGGCCGATAAAAGTTAAAAGCCTACATTTATCTTAAGATAGAAATACAAGTATCTAATGCTTAATACAAAAAACAAAATTTGTTAGGCTTTCAAATGTAATTGAAAACATAACTGGTTTAATACATAACCTCACTTTTTTTTTTCCAACCTCTTTGCAATAGCTAACTTTACTGAGGGTTTTGCCTGCTTCTGAATGTCCCCTTTCAATCTTGATGTAAAGGTGGATACCCTAAGGGGTACTTTGAGCAATCATCAGAAAGCTTGCCAGAGAAATAAAGCATATGCATATAGAAAGTACATCAGTATGAAATACACAGGTAAAAAAACATATGAAAAACCTACTAGGAATCTTGATCTACAGCCTAAGGGCGCCAGCAAGAACTAGTCATGACATGTGTGTGCCGTGCTTGGTAACTTGAGAATAAACACCATCTGTAGACAAGGCCCTTTGCCAAGCCTCACACCGCGCAGGAAGTATAAACCTAGCATCCGGGGAGTTTACATGTCCGCAATCCGACCGTGAAGACCACGCGAGAGGGATTCTGGGCACCACATAACAGTGACAGTTATAGCCCTGTGTTACAGATCTAGATTGAGATGCTAACAGATAAATGCTTCCCTGTGAAAAATGCCCGTTCCCTGAAAGCAAAACACTTGTAAAAGAAACACATTTTCACTAATCTTCTGAAAACCTGCCAAGATGACTTGTGCATCAGCTTGCTTCTTTCAAGTTCCCCATCTTTGGGACAGAAACTGTTTCACAGGATTTGTGGCTCTGGGACATAAAACACCCTCGTCCATAACAAACAGCCCAAAGTTTGCCAGCCCATGGATTCCAGACCTCCACGTCAATTAGCCTCCAACCACTCCACTTTGTTATTGCTAAAGCATAACTGATTAACGTGTACTAACCAAGAAAGGGATGTTTCTATGTTTCTACAAAAGCTTTGTTTGTTTACAATAAATAACTTATTTTTTGAGGCACTCATTTCTAATTTAAGTCTGTCCTTCAATAGGAAAAAATTTCTCTTTAAAAAGAAAATCTGATAAGTTTTACCTGTTCTGTATCCAGTGTAATATTACATAATCTATTTAAAATTCATCAGTTTATCCGATTTTTTCATTTGGAATCAATGTAGTACCCTCCCTGGTCTTTTAGATATTCAAAGATCTTTTCCATCTAAATTATTTTTGTCAACAGGAAAAGTAATTTTTGTCCAGTGACCTTCTCCACAGGGAGGTGAAGAAGCTGCAGTGAAGAAGCTGCAGTGAAGAAGCTGCAGTGAAGAAGCTGCAGTGAAGAAGCTGCAGTGAAGAAGCTGCAGTGAAGAAGCTGCAGTGAAGAAGCTGCAGTGAAGAAGCTGCAGTGAAGAAGCTGCAGTGAAGAAGCTGCAGTGAATCCCTGGGGCCTTTAATGCCTCCAGGGCTGCAGTCTGGCAGCAGGATCCCTAGTTCTCTCTTTAGCCCTGCAACCTTGAGTTTTCACATTATCAGTTATTCCATACAAATCCAGGTATTCAAATACCATTGGTCCCTTCAATCCCTTGTCAGCTTCACCCACATCCTTTGTCATTGTCTTAACACCAGCCTGAAGCTTTTCCTTCCTTATTTCTTTGGCATCATTTCTGCCAACAAGTTCCTCTGATATGAGGTTCCGTATCTCCTGTCACTCTCTGGCTACTTCAGGAGGCTTTAAAACCTTTTTCCTGGTGGTGTTTTCCTGAGGGAGGGAAGAGATTTCCTGTCTTATCCAGACTTTGGCCCTCTGCTTCACTCCATGATGCTGAGGCCCTGCCCTGGCAGCAGTCATATCCTTCTTTCCCATCTAAAATGGGGGCACACCGCAGGGGCAGGAGCAGCCAGGAAAAAATAAAAGGGCAGGAAATGGAGCTGAACAGAAAGCAGATCAGCACTTGCAGCCACCACCGTACTGGAGAAGGGAGTGGGCATGAGGAGGCACCCCCACACCCCAGCCCTCCTCCATCCCATGTGAGGCAGCCGCTGTGGGAAGCTGCTCTGCAAGGAGGCACATGGTTCCCCCCGAAGGGCTGTGTGACACGGTTGGGTAAACCATTCCCCCTGCGAGCCAGCACCCTGCCTTCCCCTCAGGTTGTCTGCAGGCACCAGTCCAGCTGCTTTTTTCCCCAGATCTTTCTGCAACATTTGCCTGTGAGATCTCGGTTGCCTCCCTGCTGCCGACTCAAGATGGCGGCCACAGCCTTCTCTCGGGGCTGGCTGGCTCCTAAAATGGCTTCCCTACCACAGCATGAGGTGCCAGTGGCATCACATCACCCGGGCCCTCTGCCTTCCTCCTTCACACTGGTCAAAGACCGGATTTCTCTCTGGACGCAGCTGGACTTTCTCTGTATCTCCTCTTGACCCAGCATTGCCTTCCTCTTCCTGAGGAACCACATTAAATTCCCATCTTTGTCTTGACCAGGTAACAATCTAGGACTTAAACAGTGTGTGTGTGTGTATATATATATATATATATATATAAGCGTTATATTTCTATAGCAGGCAACAAAGAATCAGTTTAAATTCCAATATTCGTCTCAGAACTCCAGTTTCTCCAGGGCTATCTTTGTTTCTGCCAGATTTTCAAGAGCGAAACTCTGAAACATTGGGGTCCACTTAATTTTTCCCAGATATTTCTCTAGGATGGCACAGCTGCTTGGACCACGTGTATTAAACACAATAACTCATGCCCAGTGATTTTTAAGCAGTAAATTTTCCAAGCCTTTTAGCAGACCCCAGGCATTGCAGCACGCAGCCAAAACCCCACAGGTTTCCTGAATGACGAAGCAACAGCCACAAGGGCTCAATCTGACACCAGGGACATGGGTGATTCTGCGAGTGCAGGCTGAGATTCAGAAAACCAAGAAACAAGGATTGAGTGGTTTTTGTTTCACGTGCAGAAGTGGTGATACTCTGATGCTGATTACGTTCTCCGAAATGGAACACATTTTCACAACAAAATGAATGCAGCTGATGAGGCTATTAGCAACAACCTACCGAAGAGAGGAAGGGAGAAACTGGCACTTACCTATTTGGTTTGTTTTTCCTTAAGCTTTCTGGCAACCACTCCTTTTTCAAAATGGTATTTTCTTACTGCTGTTAGTGACAAGAAAGCCTCAGGCTGCATTCTTCAACGATGACATTATTCCCCTGTATCTTCTGCTTGTGGAGGTGAAGTGGCTGCAATCCATACTGTTATTATCAGCTTTTTATCTTAATGAATACAAAGTAATGCTGTTAGGGAACATAACTATGGCTACTCTGCATGTAATTTAAAAAAACTGTATAGAATAGGAAAAGACAAACAACTGCATAGTATAGGAAAGGGAGTAACAACAGAAAGAGGATACAAGAAAGAACCGGAAAGAAGATGGAAGACACTAGAATGATGAACATAGCCAAATATATGTTACAACAGATGGTAGTGAAGTGAGGTGAGAACAGGTGGAGAGATTTCAGTGAGGAAAGCGTAAGAAGGAAGAGCAGACAGCACAGGCCTAAGAGATATCCAAAGAAAAACTTGGAGATGGACGACATTGGGCAAGGAAGAAAATGAATGGAGGAATGTGCAGGGGAGTTGAAAACACAGGTGTAAAAAAGCACATTAAGTAGAAAGGGATTGAACCAGCAAGCAGATACATTAGGAGACAGGAAAGGGTAATGACATGTTCCTCTCTTACGAGTCTTTTTGTGCATCAGTTCAGAGTTGAGCTCTCTACCAAGTTCAAAGAAATTGGCTGGGCCTCCTTCTGAAGGCAAATAGTAAAGGCATCTTATTATTATATGAGCCAATTTCATATGTGTTTGGGAATTATCACAAGGTACTTCAGCCCTACCTGGATTCACTACAGCATACACGAAGTGCGTGTGTTTCTCTGAAAGCTTATTTCACGTCAGCCTTTTTGGCAACAAGTAAAGTCAAATGCAGCCAAACTGGGAGCAAAATTTGAAAGCAGGAAGGCAGACCAAGCAAGAGAACACCCGAAGTGGATTTTGGAGATTAAATAGAAGCAAGGAAAGAAGAGTAGTGTGATCTGGGGGGAATGGGATGGCAAATACCTTCTTATATGTCTGCTACACACCAGTCCTGCACCTTTTTCTTTTTTTGCTTGGTGAGGACTGCGTCCCCACCCAGAAACTTACACATTACTTACAGGAAAAGCAGTGTGTAGTCACCTTCAGCCGTTAGTACCTCTGCTCTGTGCTCTTCTACAAATAGCATCAGCTCCTGAAGGCAGAAAGACGAAGCCAACATGGTTATTGTAGTTAAGTTCAGTTGTCTGCTCTCTCCTTCAACAGGCACCAGAAAACACGAGGGAAGTGGCACTGAAAGGGAGTGCCCTAGGGAAAGCAAGACTGTAGTTTAGATTCTTTCTTTCCTGGATTTGTCTCTTAGCCCTAGAAAAAGGATGAAGAGAGTTGGAATGGTGTATTTCACCCTCTCCTCCCCTCTCTAAAAGGG